ATTTTCTTGACAATGGTTTGCGTAAAAATGATATAAAATGGACAAAAAATTTACATTCATTTTACGTAAAATTAACAAACATGCTGTTTGGGAGCGAGGCTCAAGGTTCCGTTTCGAGTGGCTTCGACAAGCCTCTAACCCTTTCCCTATCCTTGAAAAGCCTTAGGGTGGATTTTTGAAGAGCACTATCCGATAATGCAGCTTGATTTCAGAGAAAATGCATGATAAATCCGGTAAATAAAGCTGCATTATCAGAGAGTGCTCTGTTCAAAAATCCATCTTCAGTTTCTTGCTCTCGATTTTCCGTTTCTCACCGACATTCCTTCGCTTATAGGCCTGAAGGATTGAAGCCCAAGCAACCTCGCAGGGCTCCATCGATCGGGAATCGGAGGCCCACGAAAGCTTCTATTAATATCAGTAATTTACCTTCCCTTCCATCCGTAGGGTGTCCTGCCTGAACTTGATGGAAAGGCTATTAGCCAACCAGGCTGGTTTGCCGCACCCCGTAAGGGCATCGTTTTCTTTTCCATAGGTGGTTTGCCATACTGGCTAGGCCGAGTGTAAGGCTCGTTGAAAAAATCATTGCTCTACCACCTCTCGATCGACTTTAGAATTGTTTGCCTGGATCAATTCTAGAGCCTTCCCAGCGAACAAACGAACATCTAATCAACGTTGTATGAACGTTAAATTTGAACCTTCCCACTGTTGTGGCATTGCATCTAACATTAAGTCAATATTTCAATGTCGAATATCGGAATACTCAGATGAACGTTGTGCCAACATTGCAATGTTACTAATTGAAACGCGCACCCTCACCTTCGTGGCACCCCAAAAATGACGACAAAGACATATATATTGTTCTAAAAGTACTAATTTTAGAAATTTCCTAGGACCGGTTCTCTCTTTCCTGCTCTGCAGGATACTCTAATCCTCCTTCCTGCCTGTGTGCAAAGGAGGGAAGAAAATGATGAAAGAAAACAAAAAACAACGAAGAAAGTCTTCATTTTATCGGTACAGATTGAAATCAGTACATTAGTCTCAGCGAGAACATCCAGTGATGGCTAGCAATTCAGCAGGACATTGAACTTTGGAATATGTCATGGAGAGATTGTCTGCTCCTCTCAACTAATCAAATCTAAATTAGCATCCATCTCGAATTTGTTGAGGAAGAGCATCACATGCTTGAAGAGAAGAAATACCACCACATCGATTGCCTCTTCTATCAGGTGGTGTATTCCACTGTGACTGGCATCCATTGAAGATTCCAACGCATTCACATCCCCTCCACTGTTGGTGACCTGGACAATCATGGTTTTTCCTTGGACTGGACCACTGGTAAAATCAAGTTTATAGCATGCACAGCAGCGGTCTTGTTCGCTCAAGCCTGGAATGGTGGCAGCAGCAAATCCAAAAGGCCAATTTGTCATTGATGGCCCATGATTTCTGATTTTTACAGGTGAAGGCTTCACCTCCACCACATCTACTGGCAGCATTGGGATTGCTAATGACAGAGAAACCATCCTTGCTTTCAAGTTTTCACGAAAGCACTGGATTCAGAAACTTTGCCGCACCAGAAGCAGCTGTGTTTGCAGCAATCCCAGTATCTAGTGGTAATTCCTATAGCCAGCCCAGATGGAGGAATTGTCCCACCACACCACACACCGGTTGCAAAAGCATCGTTTTTAGAAGTTGGGCCTTGTTTCATCCAGAAAGTAGCCCATTCCATGAAGTCCCGGTGGAATGAGTGCATCCTTGGGTAGCAGCACTTCTACCACCACAATCGTCCCGACGTATTTGAGCACTTAACAAATCATTTCCTCTAAAATCGCATCCTAAGGCCCAGTTGTCCCTGGACCATTCCAAGCAACCTAGCAATACAGGAATGACATGAGGGAAAAAATTATGCCGTTGAGAGGTGAAACACTACACATGGTAATCCAGACGAGATCTTTACGTTGCTAAGAGGATATATAAGTATGTGCAGTAAATTGGATTTTTGTTTTGTTTCTTCTCACGTGGCGATATCTTCGCATATTACAATCACATTGTATAATTCTTCCGGATTGACCGGGTGTATGGTTAGTAGTAGGGCTGTACCGGTGGCAAATTTTTGCCTGTAGGAGAAATCGTCTTTTAAATTCAAGTAGGTTTAATTGGAAGCCATGTGATACTTATCTGTAAGCCTCCTTGAGACGGTAGAGATCACTTTTGGTCCTTTCCGGCCTGTCTGTCTCTTGATGCTTCTGTCTGTGGTTAGCGCCATACCTATTGCTGCAGTCGAGACCATTTAGTGACATATAAACATGGGAAATATACATAGACTGGACATTGCTATCGAAGATCTCACGCCGATTTGAAGAGTTGGCGGCCATTATTGATGGCGTGAAGGAGAGGATGAGGCATGGGATTCATTGAGGCGCACAGTAGTCATGGTCAATGTGTTTAAGATTCATACACCATGAAAGACCTCTGACTGGGTTGGGTATCAGGTCTTACAATGATGAATCTAGCTTGATGACTATTGACTCTTTTGCGGGGTCTAACCTTAGGTGCGGCGGAATTTTCATAGCCTGCTGAACAGCCTCATGTAAACCCTGAGTATAACTGCATGGGGAACTGATAATACGTCCTCTCATTATTGAGTGCAATGAAAATAAAGACGGAATAGGTAGCATTAATCAATTTTCAAAATACCATACATCGTCACTGAAGACCAGGTAGGCCTAGGCCTAGGGCTACGCCGTCTTCGTGGAAAGCGTCAAAACTCAGTGTAGTGTGACGTCATGAATTGGAAAGCTGTTTTAGCTGGAAAGCTGCGTTTATTGGTCGATTTGACGCCATGAGCGATGGCGGCTGACCCTTCTAATCGGCGTGCGGCTACCTGGCGTTCTCCATTGGCCTGTCCAGTCTAGGTATATTCACCAGGTCTCTGGTGACGCATCCCTTCCAAAGCATGACTTAAACGGAGATGCAAGGATTTCCCGTTCTTAACCGCTCCTTTCATCCGTCGGTTCCTATAATACTGGTGTAACATTATTCGATCGATATTTTTTGCCTGGGAGAGGCTGGAGTGGCTTTCAGTGAGACAGGAGGGCCGACGCCGAGGCGCGTGAACACCCTCACCTAATATTTTTTCGCTTTGTCTGTCCGTTGGGCACCGGCACCATTGCCATAGGCCGATGGTGCTGATAGTGCAACACCGGTAGCCGATACCAGTATTAGCCGATACATCGGTACAGCCCATGTTAGTAGTGTAAACCAATTTATTGATAGTTACGGTCGTTGTTTTTTAGGTAAGCACAACGCCAACCGAGCCAAGCAATCGAGACAGTTGCCCATTATACAGTATGTGGGATTCCGTTTGCAAGATGTTCTGCCGTATGACCAGAGTGAGACCGTCACTTTTTCTTTCGCGTGTTTACAATCATTGAATACAGATACACAGACCTGGGCGAAGACAGGATCTCCTCTCAACGTGACTAGCATCACCGTGACTGCCAGAAACTGGATGAAGAAGAAAAATGTCAATCGTGAGACTTGAAGCTTTCTGGTTTAGATAAAAAATTGTAATGGGCACGAGTCCTCGAGGAGACAATAATTGTGAAGCAACAAGAGTGCAGGACTCACAACTGAGTCATTCCACGTCAAATCAACACTCTATAAATCATTACCTCCTCTGATTTTGATTAAATTTGGACCAAAGCTTTGTACAATTAAGAAAGCGGGAAATCCTAAATACTCTTCTCCTCAGTCGCTTAGATCTAACAATAAGAGTCTCTAAATATAAAATCTTTGTTACCTTTTAGAACCTCTGTCCGCTTATAACTTCTCTTCTTTTCAAGGTAGAGAGATGCTTTATGGCTCCTCTGAAAGGTCTCTTCCTGCCCCTTCCGATAGCATTAAATTCGTTAGTAATACCTCATGAAATAAAACGTAGCGATGAAATCGAAACTTAGACTTATGACGTCATTTAGCAAAAATACCCAATTTTCTATTTTGACAAAATTTGGCTTACAGGCGTGCCCCTGTAGGTAAAGTAGGTTTGCCGAGAATCATCGTGGGATATTAATACATTTTTGAGGCATTGACAATTTTGTAACTGAAAAGTAAAAAATTGTCCCTTGTCAGATAACACATTGAGTCATTCCATATCAAATCAACACACTAAAAAACATGACTTTCCAAATTTTAAAATAAAATTTAAGCTAATGCTGTGCAGTATTGGGAAAAGGAGGAATCCGAAGTATGTTTGTCTTCATCGAATTATACCGCATATTGGATAATGAAAACTTTGTACTTTTGTCTTCAAGTGGCACCCCCTCTTCCTCAATATCGTAATGACTTCTGTTCAAGCTAGAGAGATGCTCTATAGCTCCTTGTGAAGGTCTCTTCCTGCTCTTTCGGATGATACCATTCTGGTAAATGTAATCTTAAACTGTAACACGTAGTCATAAAATCGATGCCTTGGAATTTGAACTCATTTTGCCAAAAATACATTCTCTGGGATTTCCGTCAAATTTTGTTGACACGTGTCGGTAAACAGATGCAACATGTATGCTAAAAATCATATTGGGATGTAAATAACTTTGTGAGATATGGGCTGTCTCCCTATTCTCCCATTTCCCGATTCCCCTATATGTTAAGAGTTAAGAGATCAAAGAAAATTTTAAAGGTTCAGTGGAAAAAAGTCCTAATCTCACATAAACATCATCCCGATATTAATCTCATATTAGAAGAGGAGCCAGACACGTTCTCGCAGACTGGATGTCACGCTCCATCCCACACTAAAGAAATACGAGAGCCTGAGTCCCAATGGGCGCTATGTAGAAACTTTGGAAAATTGAGCATGTCTCCTCGGAACCCCTGGCCAGTAGTACTTGGAGTCTCCTTCTCCCAGGTTACCTCCTTAAACGGATCTATCTGGACATTTCCAAGCCTTGCCATGAGTTGTATGTGGGAAAAGATCGGGTACTGTGTCAAAAATACAGGGGACTCATTCCAATGGCACCAGGGTGAGAATCACTAAATCGGCACTTAGGCACAACTTCGTGTCGATTAGTAGAACCTATTTCAATGTGGATATCTGAACCCTGTCTCAACATTTCAACCTTTCATCGATGTTGACACGACGTTGTTGTGCCGAATAGGGTCTGGTCTTGCAGTATGTTATTCATCCTGTAAATATTTACGTCCACATTTATATTAATTTCCCCAGCCAGTTGCGGTGTCCTTGACAAGAAATAATCATACTGTGCAGACAATTGTCAGACTGTAAATTTCAAATGGTTTGATGTTCTCGTTGATCATAAAATTCATAATTATTCTTTATTCGTTCTTCTTCGTTACCTGGATCGCCGCCATCTTAATTTTCGGCAAATATAATAACGCATATAACACCCGATAATAAGTTAATTTGACAATTTTCCAAATAGACCATAAAGGCTGAAAATCTCCAGACACTGAGCTACTCTCAACTTTTCACATCCTAGACCCATCAGAATCGGACGTATGCCTGAGGGCAGTGAAATGTATGGAATGGAGAGCAGAGGGGCTGTGAGAACGGACGTGACGTGATATGGTCGCTTCCTTTATGCTACGAAGGTCTGCTTGATAGTCGAGAAGTGCTGCGAAAGGGAATCTTTGTCGAACATGAATCTTTGTCGATAATAATTGCCGCAAGGAATAGCATGAACCACCGAAGACCCCTAGTCAACATGAGACGAAAGGAGAGGAGGATGGGGAAGAGGAAAAACGGGGGCAAAGCAGGTACCTCTTTCTCCATGGCAATTCATACGATGATGTTAGAACGTCCATTACCCTTAATTCTCAAACTTCATCACTGGGAGTGTTAACCCACCGTCACACCTATAGACCTTCCTCAGGCATACACAAGCAGGAAAAGTCCAAAGGAAGATACCTATTGTTACAATGCTGCTTCTTTTTTTAACAACCAGTTTCTGAGTCAATGAGACCAACCCGGTTTTCTCCCAACTCATGGCTGTTTCCACCCGCAGATCGAAATGAGGCTGGCGCGGGTAAATAAGGAAGCATCTCGATGCCACGGGTGAATGAAGCGGATTATTATTCAAAAGGCATAATCATTTTCAAGAAGATTTTTAAAAGTGCATTCATGTCAGCGGTATTCCATTTTCCCAATTACATGAAGGTAAATTAAAGGCTTACTTAATACATGGGGCATGGTAATACTAGTTTCCTTTTTAAAAAAAGTGACACATCTAAACGGGCTTGAGCAATCTTGCAGAAAGGACTTGCTTCTGTCTGCGATGGAAGTAGGTAGAGCGTGTAACAGGGAAGCATTTCGCTTGACCTTAATTCGTAACCTAAAACGTAGAAATTCCTGAGTGTTCAAGGCTTGCCGATATCAAATACATATTTCATGTCACTGCAATGCTGCAGTTTCAAACGAATCGCATTATTTGCAATATTCACCGCAAATTTTCTTATTATTTCCATGGAACATCCATTTTTCGCTTTTCCTCAAAGCTGGAAAAAAATTATTCAAATTGTTCTTCAAAATTCAAATTGAATGAGAGCAGTTTATAGCCAAAACCTGGATCCATGGATCCGCGTTTCTATCATAACAGGCAGCTCTGGACAGATCATGGAACAAGGTAGCTTTTCCCTTTATCGAGAATGCATCCGCACACTTGTGCGACGGCATTCTCGATAAAGGGAAACCACTAACATCCTCATATGGTTTTTCTTCCCATGGCTCAAAGGACGTGATAGGCCGCTCTCAACCGAGTATAAATGAAGGTTCCTTGCACTAGTCGAGAAATCATTCTCACCACCATCGACGACCCAGTCGGCCCTCCTCGGGAATAATATGGAATTCTTCAGCATTGTGAGTCCCAAGCACTTGTTGCTTCACAATTTTTGTCTCCTCGGGGACTCATGCCCATTACATTTTTTTAAACCAGGAAGTTTCACGGCTCACGAATGACATTTTCCTCCTTCACCCAGTTTCAGGCATTGGCACTGATGGTGGTTACGTTGGGAGCTGCCGTCTCCGCCCAGGTCTGTGTTTCTATATTCCATGAATGCAAACACGCGAAAGATAAAGTGAAGATCTCACGAACTTCTAATCCTGGTCTTACGGTAGAACATCTTTTAAGCGTAATCCCAAACTCTGTTTACAGCGAAGTAGAAAGTTACGTATAAGAAGAGGTACAGATGTGAAAAGTATGTACTAGAGTTGAATCTTTCGGGTCAGCATGGACACCTCCGTACATACATTTTTCCGGACATGGTCCAGGCGTACACATTGGGACGTTGCAGATACATTCCAACCCAAGGCACTGGACCTTAGTACTGGACTCTGCATCAAACCACGGCGTAGCTCCAAATCATGAAATGATTCAATTACCAAAATTCCTTCTTCCCCAAACTTCGTAGTCCCTTCGTAGTCAATAGCGCTTTCACTTGCGGTTTGCCGGCAGTGTTGTTAACTTTGCCATCAAAGACAACATGGGGAATATGGTCATCTCGAATTGGGCTAATATGGACACCACCTTGATAGAAGCAAGGCACTGACCTATCGGAAGTGTTAATTCCTTTTGTGTAGGGTCTCAGGCAGCAAGATATCCTACGGACATCCGCTGGATATCCACTGTGGATGTACAGTATGGAGGGAGATACACTGGACACCCGTGTGATATGCATAGCCTCATGAAGCGCTTTCTGGACATCCGCTGGATGTACTTCATACATTTTTGTGGCAAGACATTTGAGTGCTGACAAACATCCTTCGCGCAAAAGACGAGTGTCATCTTTCCATTTTTTATGCACGAACAGAAAAACTACAAAACGTTCTCCCTGCGCTATTGGACATCTTTGTTCACACTTGTAGCGCGTGTTGACTAAGACCACTGGGTGCTCACTCCTCTTACACCCACAGTCTACACAGTCTCTTACGCCTACAGTCACAGATACCGTCTCCCAATCACATACAATGCTACTCATAGCGCAAAGCGTTTTAACCCTGCTTTTGATAGCAGCTCCTGGAGTGAGGTCAATTGGTCATAATGACGTCGAAGTCTTTGATTTCCTTCATTACAGTTAATGTAGTTTTCTCACTGCTTAGCCTCGTTTGTTTTGATTCATGTTTCCTACCATGTTCGAGTATATTTCACACGTATCTTACAAACCTTGGGTTGAAGCGGCTAAATTAACCTTAATACCTGGCCGTATTTCCCAATAAGGATAATATGGCCTCTTGGGACCGACTTTGAAAGGATCCAAATGCTCAGTATCCATTTGTGCAACACCAATGTGCGCAACATCCATGTGTTTTTTGCATGTACCTTCCGGGGATTGCGCAAAAAAAGGTATGCATCGATATTTTCAATACATTGGCGAAGTCAAATTCGAGATCGAGAGACAGTTGGGGGCCAGGTTTAATTTTTTAGGGACATAGTCCCCTAAATTACCTTATAACCTTTCCAGAGTGGTGATCCCCGTACCCGGTAACATTTATTTTCCTTTACTTATGGATACAGATCTCTTAGGCGATACATGTCCATCCCCTTAGGTACGAACAGAGCTTGTCGATATTACTATGTTTAACTTTTAATCTCAACTGCTTGATTTTTTAATTTCCTTATGCCATTCCCGTGTTACTAGATTGCTTGGAATGGAAACAACTGGGCTTTGGGATGCGACTTTCAAGGAAATGACTTGTCCAATGTTCAAATACGTGGGGAAGATTGTGGTGGAAGATGCGCAGCTACCCAAGGTTGCACTCATTTCACCTGGACTACATGGAATGGGGGTACCTGCTGGATGAAACAAGGACCGATTTGTAAAGACAATGCTTTCGCAACCGGTGACAGTTCCATGGTTTGTGGTGCTATGGATTCTGCTTGTGGTGGGAGTATTGCTTGGAACGGAAACAACTGGGCCTTAGGATGCGATTTTAGAGGAAATGATTTGTCAAGTGCTCAAATACGTGGGGAAGATTGTGGTGGGAGATGTGCTGCTACTCAAGGATGCACTCATTTCACCTGGACTTCATGGAATGGGGGTACTTGTTGGATGAAACAAGGCGCAATTTCTAAAAACAATGCTTTCGCAACCGGTGACAATTCCATGGTGTGTGGTGTGGTAGGACAACCTTCTCCATCTGAGCAGGCTGCAGGAACTACCACTAGATACTGGGATTGCTGCAAACCCAGCTGCTCTTGGCCTGGCAAAGTTTCTGGATCCAATGCTTTCGTGAAAACCTGTAGGAATGATGGCTTCTCTGTCATTAGCGATCCCAATGCCGCCAGTGGATGTGGTGGAGGTCAAGCCTTCACCTGTAACAATCAGAAACCATGGGCCATCAATGACCAATTGGCCTATGGATTTGCTGCTGCCACCATTCCAGGCTTGAGCGAACAGGACCGCTGCTGTGCATGCTATAAACTTGATTTTACCAGTGGTCCAGTCCAAGGAAAAACCATGATTGTGCAGGTCACCAACAGTGGAGGGGATGTGAATGCAAATCAATTCGATCTTCAAATTCCTGGAGGAGGCGTTGGAATCTTCAATGGGTGCCAGTCACAGTGGAATGCACCACCCGATGGATGGGGCAATCGTTATGGTGGTGTTTCTTCTCGTCAAGCATGTGATGCTCTTCCTCAACAAATTCGAGATGGATGCTACTTTAGATTTGATTGGTTCAGAGGAGCAGACAATCCCTCCATGACGTATTCTAAAGTTCAATGTCCTGCTGAATTGGTAGCAATCACTGGATGTTCTCGCTGAGACTAAGGTACTGATTTCAATCTGTATGAATAAAATGAAGGCCTTCGACCAGTTGCTGCTGTGTATGATTTTCATATAATCATTCTCCATTGGATTGAAATCTGAGCTCTATTTCTTCAAACAAGAGCATAAACAGAAAAACCGTCTAAGAGTGAAGGGGATCAAAATAGAATTTAACATCAGCATCAGAGTGTGGGTGATTGTTAGTCAGCTTTTGCTGAAGCTTGTGGAAACATAATTTCAATTCAAGCATTTAGTTAAAAGTGCTGTGGCAGTTGGCGACGTCCAACGACTCCAACGTGGAAACTAGTGAAACACCAGGGAAATCAATACGTCAAAGCAGCAGCAAACAGAAAATAATGTTTGAATGGCGATTCCCACTGCCTAATAACACTCCGAAAAATGTGAATGAGCGGAAGTATGCCACACTGGAAAATCAATTATTCAATTCAATCGAGTTTTTGCTGCCGCGAATCGAGATGTTCTTAAAGGAGGTTGCATCGTTAGTATTGGAGATAATTCTTATCTCAGTGATCACGAACAGGAGATGGCTTTTCTGATATTCTTCAGAAGATATTTTCCAGTATCATGAATAATGCATATCTGAAAGTGTAGTACTTTCTTACAGAAATAAAGTGTTAAGAAAGAGAACATGCAAGACTTTGATTAACTGAATTTTTAGTCACAGCTCAAACACGAATTGTTATTTCAAATGTTGATTCGTCACGATGTATTATTTTTAAGCGCATGTCACATGTTACTTATTCCCGATGTCGGATTCGACGCTTTCGAGCAGACCTTTCGCCACATGGCTTGTCGAAAATTACCCTGGCATTTTTTAACCCTCAGTTTTTTCGGGCCTGTGACGTCACGGAGCGCCATGGAAACCACATGCTCAGAACGTACTGGATGGTGCATGAAATCCTTTCCTCCTCTCCCTTTCCTTTCTTTCTTGGATTAACATCTCAAGCGTTTTGAAAGGGATCTTAATCTTTGCTCGATAACGTTTGGGTGTTGGCTTTTCTTTGCATGAAAAGAAATTCCGGATGCTAGAGGTGAGGCAAGTCAGATTCTTTGTAACTTAAATGATATTTTTCTTATTCTAATCAGGTTTTTTCCCCATTTTCATGCACTATTGGCATCTTCTCTCTGCACTGATTGGATTTATAAGTTTTACCTTGTGAAGAAATAAATTAATGAATAAAGCACCTTGATTTTTCCCTCATCTGATGGGGCATTTTCCCATTCAAAAATGTTGTCGACCGATCGGGATGACCCTTCTTTATTTCCCTTTCGGGTGGATTCCAAGCAGTCGAGGAAATTTTGAACGGCCGCAAGACGTATTGATTCATAAAATCGAAAATCGAGCCCGGAATGTTTTACATGGAACACGATGCGGACACGGATAGGCGAAAAGCCAACTTTGCCTTCCGCATTGGACACCAGGGCCGCCCAGAAAGGGGGTGGAGGACTATCTGGCGCGGGCCCCGCGTATCAAGGGACTCCAAGGGGGTCTCCAATGAGACCTAATGCCAAGGTCACAAAAGGGCCCATCCTTACTTTGGCGAAGAAGTGTTTTTTTTTTTCCCAACGTTCCAAGGCAGTGCCATCTAAACCTTCGATACCTTGGAGGACTATTAAAATCGATTAGTCAATCGCAATAAGCCACATGGCTGATTAACATCTAACATGCCACGTCCTGAACGTATTGTTACTGTAGGCCAAGCCTTGTCACAGGTCAACGGCACCATAGAGCAGCATGACCTGAGCAACCAAGAACGTGCGAGGGTGTGAAGGAGAAGTAAGTCATGTTCATTTCTTCTTCAAGAGGAGTCGATGTTCAGTATATTGTTACGTCCTGTGTATATTGGTGTATACCTATTGTCACACCCGCCGCGCGGCTAACTCTTGCCCAAGAAGGCCAATTCTTCGATACCTGCGAATTGTGTTATGTCCCCTGTATTAACTCTCTATACCCCGGTACCTATTGTATACAGACATGTTCTTCATTTGAGTTATAACGGAATATGAATAACTTGCCTTCGTGAGGAATGGTGCACACTCGTAAAGTAGGGAGAGGCCGTTGACCCTGACTAGGCCCGACCCTAGCCGAGATCAGGAAGGATGCAGCAGCTCGCAATGTGTCCATTGTCTCCTCATGCCCCAGCTACCGGGGACACAGCTCCCGGCAGCTAGAATAGCCTTTTTCTAGGCTTCCCTGTATATGGTCGGGTTTGAGCGTGGGGTGTGGGGGCTCGTTGGGGGATAACCACTGGTATGAACGTCTGATGTTATCGTAGAAGATCCGCTTTTCATCACAGGTAAGGATGCGGTTCAAGAACAGGTCTCTACGCTGGCGGGAAAGCAGTGACCAACCAAGCCCTGCTCAGAAAGCAGCCATCTCGTCAGTAGAAGGCAAGTTCTGTTTCTCCACGACAGCACTCGTCCTCGTGTAGCGAAAAAGACGCTGCAGCAGATTGACGGCCTGGGTTGAGAAGTCTTACCCCACCATGAATACTCCCCTGACATCTCCCCTACGGACTACCACTTGTTCCGATCCCTTGGAAACTACACGAGGGAGAAGCAGTTCCAAGACCAAAAGGAGGCTGAAAATGACCTGGAACAGTTTTCGACTCGGATGATTCTGCTTTTTATAAAACCGGTATTTCTGAACTTGTGCAACGATGGACGAAGGTTGTCGACAATGATGGAGATTATTTCGTTGAATGAAAATTACTCATAAAAAATTGTGCTCTTTTGAAAATGCGATTACAATACGAAAGTACTTTTGCAAAGACCTGATATTACCGAGACATCTGATGGCTTGTTATCAACAGCACTTCCATGCAGCGTGCTTCGTAGCAGCGGAATCGGGAAACGACTCATTCGGGGATTCGACCCAAAGGGATCCTTCAACGTAACACGCGTGTCTCGTCGAGTCCGCTGCTCGGCCATGAAAGAGTTGTAGATAGGTGCCCGCTAGGTGGAGGATCAACAGCGAAATCTATACTGCGACCCTGTCAATGAATGGGATTCGAGCGGAGTGGAGCCTCTAGTTCTCTACTCAGTATTCTCTACTTTTCTCACCCCTTGACTCGTTCTCTCGTCTCCCTTCTCTCCCACGCTCACGCACTTCACTCTCCCCCCTTCTTTCCCACGCACCTCTTACCCCTGCTCGACTTCGCATACTTTTCTATTTCTTTCCCTTCATAAGGTCTCTCTCTGCTTATTCCTCCTAACGTCTCACTTTTCTTGTATACTGCAAGAACCTAATAACTCTTGTCTTCTCCCTTTTCTTTCCTGCTGTCTCAACCACGTCCTGCCTTCATTGGCTCTCGAGCATCCGTCTTCAATACTCTTCAATTCTGCTTAATACGGGCTTTCTCCTTATTTCATCGCTACATAAAAATCCCTCGTCTCTACATATTTCGATCACTCTTACTTTAATATAGGGTGATCTCACATTTCTTTTTCCCCCTTTCAGCTTCCTTTATTATTTTCTTTCCCACCTCCAACCATTCACTGACCCATGGGTCCAATGACCGGGACACGTTCCCGCGCCAAAAGGTGGAACAAAAGCACACCACCTCATCCCTCAAGGAAAGAACGCCAAGCTAGAACCCCAACACCTGAAAAGATCGATTACGTCTCTTGCCAACCCAACAGCTAATCTAGTGACATCACCCTCAGCAACATCATTGATGTCAACAAATGTGGATTCCCCACGACCCCACACACCCGATCAAGAAACTGCTATGACTACTTCTCCCCCCTCTGTTAATGAGGCGCAGAGAGCTGCGACTCTAACGAGGGAGGGCGTCTTCTGTTGGGACTTACACCACTACAGCTAGAGCACCACGAGGATCAGTCTTGGCACCGCTGTTTTTCCTTGAGTATGTCAACAACTTACCTCGACACATACCATCATATGCATCTGGTAGCTAAAATGCAGATGCTACAGCCATATGACTCACTAGAAGAAATGAAGTCAAGCTCGAGAAGGACGCCCAATTTGTCTTCGACGCTCTTTCATCCTTCTGTAAGGATTGGAGGAGTTCCATGAATCCTTCCAAATCCTCATACCTTTACGTGCCCAGAAGCCTATCCCGGGACCCCTACAACTTTAGGCTTTGGATGAATGGGTACCTCATCCCCACTGCTTCCATCTGCACGTGGGGGGACCAACGGAGGTGTTTATGGAAAGTGATATCTAGAAATCTGCAGGTGGAAGCAGTGGGGATGAGGTACCCATTCATCCCCACTGCTTCCACCTGCAGATTTCTAGATATCACTTTCCATAAACACCTCCGTTGGTCCCCCCACGTGCAGATGCTATGTCAAAAGGCAATTCGAAAATTTAATTGCCTGAAGTTGCTCTCGCGTCTCAACGATTGTGAACCCAACGTCATCGTGCGCCTGTATAAAGGCTTACATCCGTCCTATTTTAACGTATGGATTTGCGGCCTGGGCCAATTTCTCCGCCTCCACCTTGGACACACTTGCACGCATCGAACGAGCTGCGATTAAGTTCGCTTACAGAATCCCACGCCACTACCCTTCTCATCACATCTATAGGGTCAGTGGCCTTACACCTCTTGACGTGTACGCCTCAGAACTAGCTCTCTCCTATGAGGACACCTGCCCCGAGGACGTACACGAATACCTGACAGCTTGGCCATGAACATGTCCTCACAAAATTTATCTCAAATGCAATTCAGGAAGCAGGACGGATGAATGAAGATGAAGTTGTCGACGGGTGCACAGAAGGAAGTTCTTAGAAAGTACGTCTTCGTCTCCGATGTCGTCTATCACAAGAAGAGAGAGGAAGGCAGCAGGACTTCTTGCCGTCAACCAGGCCGATGGAAGACACGCCCACCTTCACCCTCGTCTCTGGTTGCTTGCCCACGTTCTTTCGGATGGCGTCACGATATCGGGTCTTACTTGTCAGCATCGTCACTTCGCTGAACGAGACCGAGACAGGGTCAATCCAGAACCCATAC